TTACACAGCTCTGCTTCTTTTTTCTTTTATTTTTCCTAGGGAAGCCAATGCACAGCAGGGCAAACCTGTTGCAGAGTCAGAGCAAAGGCGCACAGCGTGGTCCCCTCTCCACTACCAGCTCTCTGCCTACCCCCCAGCTGCCAGCTCCTGCTCGTACCTCTGCCCTGCACCCTACATCCACTTGCCACAAACAGTGCTCTGTTTCTGAAGCATGTTTTTGAGGCTCTGCTCATTCGTGGAGCTCCAGGGGCATAAATAGAAAAGGCTCGGTGTTCTCGGGCACGGGGTAGATAAGGTGAGCTTTCACAATTTAAAAGCAGTAGCTGTGGTTTGACAAGGTTAGAGCTAAAAGCGGAGTATTTCACTCTGATATCTCCACCTCTGGCTACGCAGAGGAAGAAGACTCGCTTATTGTCATTCCCTCTTGTCCCACTCCCCTGTCCTTCTGCCCTCTGAGCTATAGGACTGATTTATACCCTTCTGAATCTGCAGCAGAGATCTGCCAAGGCATTTCTAACGCTACCTGAGCATTTACCTATGCAATCATAGCAACTCACATTATATTAAGGACTACCCTACACATTAACACTCGTTAGAGCAGCAGCCTAACCCCTGGCAGCCGGTTCTGCGGTAACACAGTATGTTGCCACGAGTAGCCTCGTATTTGTGTCACTCTGTGAATTAAAGTTTATCCGCATCATAGCCACAGACACAAAACACGGACATAAAGCAGGAACCAGAGCTTTGGAACCATCCACAAAAATGAGATAACTACTTCACCCTGAGTTTTAATTAAAATGGGCTTAGCCACTTTATTTTATTTTATTTTTTTTCTGACAGCCATCTCCCATTTTCTTTTTAAATACAATCTGCTCTCATTTTTCAGTGCCATCGTAGGGTTGGTGACCAAAGTACAGAAATAAAAATCACATGACTGAATTACTGCATTTTCCAAACACTTAGGATTTTATTGCCAGTAGCTAACTGCATTCACAGAACATCTGCTTTCAGTTCGTGGTGCAATCTCTATCTCAAACTGCAGCTATAACTGCTCTGGAGGAGCCCAGAGACAAGCCATAGCATTAAAGTCTGACCTACTTCCATCAAAGAATTGTTATCACCTCCTTTTCCTTTTCTCTCCTTCCATTTGCTTTGCCACTTGCCACCTTCCCTTTCCGGACCAGCTTCTGTTTGCAGAAATAGCTAACATCTACATTTACTTGGGTCTGGGAGAGCAGGATGGAGTGGAAGTTACAGGGGATGACAGGCTTGCAATAACTTCACACCTTGAAGCCACAAGTTCAAATCCACGCACGCGTAATTGAGCCCTTCTCTCTTCTGAACTTGCTGTACTGAGAGCTGTGAGGCACAGGCACTTGAAATCCTCAGGGATTTCAGTGGGAGGAAAAAAGCAGGTCAACACATCCTCAGTGTCTTTAGCCAAAACTGCCCTGTCATCGTTTTCTGAACTTTCTGGATATCTGTATGATGAAAGGAGAATATCCCTCAATGCTGGAAGAGCATTCCAGCTATTCCCTTTATTTATTTATTTTTCACTCTGCATTATGAACTAGCACATTAACTAGCACCTGGCAGCCACCTTCAGAGAGAGCAGCAAAGCCTTTTCTTTATTTAAAGGTTGTGAATGCAGAAAACAGAGCGGTGCATGCGGAAAATAGAATGGCATCTCTATATAGGATTCCTGACATGAAGAGAGAACTGGCAGTAAATAAAAGACAAGATGAGAATCAATAGCATGTGAAAGGGAGAAAAAAGAACATAAAAGGAAGTGCAAGAACCTGGAGAGGAAAAAGGTAAAAAAAAAACAAAAAACAAAAAACAACAAGATGACAACATTGTTTTTTTACAGAAACTAAATTTGTAGGGTCTGGGGTTTCATCCAACCCTAGCAGAAATCTATAGCATAGCTGTCACTGATTTCAGCACCCTTTGGGTCAGGTGCTCTGTTTTTTCTTGTATTTTAAATTCCTGCCCATCCTGGTGAAATAAGACATGTGATACCTTTGGAAAGGTACAACAGTAAATCCCCACTGGCCTCCCAAGATAACAATAAAGCAAAAGCAGGCTGAGCAATGCCACTGAGCCAATCCCCACAACAGCAGCTCACACATCTCAGCTCTGGGTTCTCTCCCCATCCTGACAACCTGTAGCACGACGCAGGGTCCCTTCTTCGCAGTTCACTGGGAATTGCAATTAAATGGAAGGTTTGCAATGAAAGCAAACATGGTAATGGAGTTAATTTTAGCAAACCACTAATGAGCAATACACCAGCCTCCTTTTTTACCCTTATGGCCAACCTCCTAATGTGCCTTCTCTTGCTTTATTGAAATCATTAACAACTAACCCGCTGTCCTCCTTTTGGAAAACACATTTCTTCCAGATTCTGCTCCACAGGGATCTGAAAGAGCTTTTCCAATCAACAATTCATTGAATGAAGTCTCCAGAAGTCTGCTGTTGTCCTTTCCATCCTGTGCTTGACCTTGAGCTATTTAAACCTAGATGGATTTCAACTCTGTAGTCCCACCAGCCTGCAGATTCTCCTCCCCACCCTCCACCTGGGATAAGAGGCTTTTCAGAAAGTGTTAGAGGAGGTCTGCTAAATGATGCATTGAAAAGAGCTGGAGGGAAAAACAACTTTATCATCATCCTGTGGTTCAAGCAGAAGGGGATAGGACTCCTCAGTGCTTTAAAAGAGAATGAAAAATAAAAAATCTGAGCAGAGAGCAATGCAAAAAAAGGAAAATTAATACTTTTTGATCAACTAATGAAAATGGGTTCAAGACAGCAAGGTACCAGGAGAGTCCCTGGCATGGTGTGTTTGGATGAACGCAGGCTCCATTCTAGTACAACTTTTCTTTGGAAGATGAAAGGGTAAGGGGATATCAGGAGAAAAGCTCTGTCCAGCTGCAGAGAATATGCTATGAAGGAGTGTGGGATTGAGACAAGGGAAAAGTTACTGTTCAGAATTTAGATGCAGCAAGTTAAACTGCTGGAGCACCACTAGATAGCCAGGAGTGCAGTTTAGCATTTCTGATACGGATTCTGCTGCAGATTTTTATAGTAGATGCAAGACAGAACAAACGCTCCTGAGTGCTGTATATCCTCACAGCTGCTCAGTCTCCAAGCAGCTGCAGGAATTTCAGTAGGTGGTACAGGTATGCTGGCAGAACTCCACGGGAAGGGGCTATACATGTTTTCATTATTTGGTCTGAACCAGTGAGTGACTTTCACAAACGCTATCACATTCCTCCAAAACTACTGTTTCTGCCAAAACACTGCTAGAAGAGCAATTTGTCCACAAACCATCAACACCAGAAAATTTGCTAATTGCCCCCTGCAAGGTCACGCTGCCAACTGGACTCTATTAACGTGCGACAGAAGGTCACAGAAAGCAGAAGCCAGAAAAGCTGTTCCATTTGCTTGCATTAAGGATCACGATTTGCCTAACCCTGTGCAATAGATCAGAGGAGAGGGAGAGGAGAAACAAGAAAAACCTTCCCAGCAGCAGCATCTTCCCCTGCTGAGCAGTTGTCCCCTCTAGCCTCAGAAGCATGAGGATGCATTATTTAACAGAGTCAGATCAGGTTTTCTCAGGGGGGCAAGACCCCTTACTTCGGAGATCTCCCAAGTACTCATTTATTCAGATCTTTAACCTTCTGGAATGAAAATGAGCAGAAGAACAGATTCTGCTCCCTGTAGCACCCTGCATCTGGAGCTATTCCTTTGCTTTAGAGATCTCCAGAATTACACTCAAGTATTCAGGGAAATCCCAAAATAATGTGCTACCCTACCTCCAGCCCTCCTTCAGGAGATGCTGGGTTACATTGTTTGGGTACACTTCTGTATTTGATGACTAATTAAATAATAACATATTAAAAGCCAAAGGTAATAACTGTATATGAAATTATGAAGGTACAGTGCTGGAAATATTAAGTCAAGCAAGCAATGCCATCACACACCCGCCTTCTTATTCCCCTCCTAAAAACCTAATTATTTTAAACTGTACTTAGTTGGGCTGAAAATTGATGGAACTAACAAATTTCTAGAGCTAGCACAGGCAGAAGCATCCTACCATACAACTGAACACGACTATAGCTCAGCAGTATGACAGGTTACAAATCCCTGTACAGCTGTGCCTCTGAATCACATCCTGCCACAGCATGGTCACTCCACAAAGCTTTGCCCACATACTACAGTTTTTGTCTGCAAGTGTCCTGCTGGCTCCGAAGCCCTTTCAGAGTTCTGCCCACCCAGCCCACACCTTCCCATCAGGATAATATTTGCCTCTTGGTCGTTGCTGTATCTCCTGATACATTGCTAATTAAGTTCCTCTCCACACCTGTTTCCTGGCTCACTCATGTTCCTTGGGTGCCAACGCTGTTCTAGCACAAGGCATCAAAACAGCCAGGCAGTTCCAAGCAGCATTTTCTTGGTTTCCCAATCTTTTCTTGTACTGTGCATTTATGTACATTCATCAGGCTTTTCATCTATCTCCCATTCTTTAAAAACCATATACCAACCGCTGCCTAATGGACTGATGTTTGCATCGTTTCACCTTGAACAAGGGCTGTTTTCTGGTCAGCCATGCAGGCAAGCCTCCTCCACACAGGCATTTCTCCTGGCACCAGGTATTTATTCACAAAACCATGGGCTCAGAGGTGGTGACTTTGTTTCGTAAGTGAGAAACAACACACCTTGCTCCATCACATTGCTGCAGGCACCCAGAGGAGCAGAAGCAGAAAATTTCCACCTCTAACACTTCTGATCAGAGGCTTGTATGTATTTGTAGATATCCAACAGCACTATTGGACAAGCTTTGTTAACAACAATGCGACATATCATAATATTTCCTGAAAAAGGCCTTCATGTCTCCTCATACTGTGCAGGGGCCACCAAGGGGACATGCTGGGCTCGGTGTATGCACCCCTCAGACCACTTCCACCCACAGAGCCCCGGCCCCAAAATCCCAGAGCTCTTACCAGGCTCTCCTGAACTCCTCCTGCATCTCCATGCTGCCACCCCATGGAAAAGCCACCCTCGGCCTTCCTCAGGGGCGGTGACTTCTGAGAGAAAACAAAGGCCTGGGCGTCGCCGTGTGGTAAAAAAACACCCCAAAACTCAAGGAGGTATTATTATTATCATTCTTTTTCCCCTAAAAGTCATCACATTGTCCTTCCCAAGCTGGCAAGGAACTGTTGTCGTGCAGGGAGCCAGGCATGGGCAGTTCCTCACATGCTATCTCCCCCTCTTTGACGCCTTCACCATGTGCTTCCCTCCTCCTCCAGCTGTGCGCGCACCCTGTTTAAGGCCTAAAATGGCGGCCGCGTAGGGCCTGAGGCTCGTGGGTGCAGGAGAGAGAAATAAGCAGGTTGAAAGATCAACTCTGCCTTCTTGGGAAGGTGCTGGTGAGTGTGGGGGCTTCCCTCAGCTGTGCTCCCCTTGCCCTCATGGTCCCTTGGCCTCCATGTGCTCCTCCCTGAGGTGGGGTCGCCTCTCCACTGCGGGGCTGCCCTCATGGGGTGGGAAGTGCTGGGGAAATAAGGGTGCTGGGAGAGAAATAAGGGTGTTATGAGAGAAATAAGGGTGCTGTGAGAGAAATAAGGGTGCTGTGGGGATGCCCGACAGAGGTGGCATGCCAGAAGCAGAGGTGGCTGGAGCTATCAATCACACTCCTGTTTCTAATCAGCAGCACCCCGGCTGGTGAACAAATAGCAACTCATTTGCAAAGCTTTTGCTCCGCTCTCTCATTAGCATAAGTATTGTTTTCCATTATCCATGGTGATTCACATTAAACTAATGCAAATTCATCTGTCATCTGAGCATATCTGAGTAAAGGGCAACTGTGAATTCAATTAGTGACTATTTGCCCCTATCCTACTAGGATACTAAAGGTGTACAGTGCTGTGTGGGAGCTGCCTGATGTGTGGCTTGGATCCTGGCTGACCTTACTGTAGTAGAAGCAGACTTGCATTTGTTTGCTACATCAGATTTGAACTTGTAGATATTGATAACATCAGTAATTCTGGCTTCAAAGGTAAACTTAAGCTTTTACTGCAGTTCCTCACCACATGATAAATGGTGTTTTTTATCCTCACTCCACCATTTTATGAAGTGACAATTCGCCCAGTAGTTTGAAATCCATTGCTGTTTGTTGTTTCCTTGGATGATTATAAGGGAGTTTAGTACTCCTGGGTATTTTCTTGAATTTGATGTAGTCAGAGGAGAGAAGTAGCCATAAGCCAAGCTCTTTTTCATGTGCTTCACGGACATCCAGTTTCATGTAATATTCTTGCAACAGTAGAAACCTTGTCCTGGAAAAAAAAATAAATCTGTATTGTAGGTAATGCTCTTGCACAATATTTGTTCTATACTGTAATTCTTTTTGTTTCATCCAGGAGAGGTGCATTTGCTGGCAGGTTGTTGCTGTGGTACTTTCAGTAGTGTTTGCTTGCCTGTGTTGTAGAGTACACCCATTCTTCCTCTAGAAATAGGAATTCAAAATCCAGATAGTACTTAATTGAGTTCTGAGAGATCCTACCAGAAAAGTGCTACTGAAATACATTATCAGTTCATATTATGCCATGGGGAGAAGGTGATGGCAGGGGAGTTTCCTGATGCTTCTCCTTCTGGATGCTCTGAATCAGATGGGATGGGAGCTGTACGAATAAACAAAAAGTCCACAAGGTTCTTGCCTCTACCACAACCACCCAGGCTATAATTCTCTGGGGTGCATACACTATAAATTCCTTTCACTGCTGGCATGTTAATGGCACTTGGGGAGATGTCACTTCAAAACTAAAATGAGCAATGACACACCAAGCAGCAGAAGGTAAATGGCTTTTAACTGGATAACATGTCAGTTAAAGGCTAAATTATTTCCCTGCTGTCACTTCCCTTTACTATGTCGGCTGGTGTTATTGGCCATTACTGACAATGGTCGAGAGAAATGATGCCCTTGGCCCTGGGGCATGCTGATTACCTTTGTAGGTATCTGTTTATGGTAAAACAATAGGCAGACAGAGTTGAAACAAACTTATTTTCTCTAAGATACATAGAAGTGACTTGTATAAAGAGGTATCACCACTTACATGACAGTATTTCACTAGTGACCAGATGCTTGTGGTGTCTTTCAGACAGATTTGCCATGAAAGGAAGCTTTCCCCAGGGTGGTGAATGTTTCTGGACAACGGTCGTTGTTTGGGTCTTCTAGCTCATGAAGAAAACTTAAGGTCTCAATATAAGTCTGTATTGGTCTATGACTCCTACAGGAATTAGGCTCTGGGGACAAGATGTATCCTCAGGCATTCCTGTAAGACATTAGAATGGAAGAGGAAGCCTGAAACTTGGTATTTTTTTGCAGCCTTTATGGGCTTCTAGATGATGGTAATCAGAATCCATTTTTCTAGATGCTGTGCCATGTCTAATGCCAAGGTAAACATTGCTGCTTTAGAATCTTTCTGAAAGGTTGAGGGTTTGTGTGCACGTCTCAATTATGTGGGTGAGTCATTGCATGAAGGTAAGTGGTAAAAGCAGCAATAGGTGCTACGAAACTCAGCAAAATCAGTGTTAAAGAAATTCTGAAAATTAATGTATTATTTATACAGTAGTTTTAGTATTGAAAAAGCTACTTAGTATTGAAAAAGCTATAATTTTTAAGGCTTTCTCAGCAGACTAATTGTTGTTAAGTAGCAGCAGAGCAGAAGAATTGATCTCTGGATTATAAAGCAGGAAAGCCAGAACTTTCTGCTTCTGTTGTCTAGGTACATTTTGAAAGCTGCCCCTGCAGAAATGGCCCTGTGGTTCTGTTTACAACAGGGATGCCAGGTGGTTATAGTTTGTAGGAGGTGACTTTCTCATTTCCAGATGTTTTGAGATCCACAAGTCAAACAAGGCCCTTTCTGTATCATCATCCTCAGAAAAAAAGGTTCTGCAAGACAAATAAGGGTTTTATCTACACACCTGTACAGCCAAACTGCTTTTGTATTGGTTGATGTGAACTAATCCAGGCTACTTAAAAGAATTAGTTGAGATTTAGTAGGTTCCTAACTGCTCTCCTGTATTTTGGGTATACTCTGAAGTGGCAGTAAGTTAAAGGTACTAAAATAATTTTTTTTCCCTTCGAGCTTTAGCTGTTCAGAATTAGTCTAGATAATGATGACCCTATTCTTACCCAGTTTAGGACTTCAGCCATTCATTTAAATGCCTTAATGGGAGGTGGGTGAGTAAAAGCCCAGGCAGTGAGTGGTGTTGTGTAGTGAAGCTACTCATCATGATTTGAGTGCGTTCCTTGTGCCCCTTGAGTTCCAGAGATCCCCAGGTATCAGATTCCAGCTTCAGAACCTGAATCGAACAGGTGCTCGGGCTTCCTTAAAGCATGTGGAATGTGTCAGGAATCCTTTAAGTTCACTAGCAAACACTTCGAAAACCAGATGGTTTCTTTGCAACAGAACCCTGAACATAGCAGGAAAATAGAAGACACTCTCCTCCCTCTCTTAGCTGGAGAAAAGAATCTTAAAAATGCTTTGCATGTGCTAAATAAATAAATTTAAAAATGAACCTTCTGGCCAATCACAGTTTAGCTACCCTGCAATTAAACAAATCCACAAACTGGCAACACATTTACATCTCATTAAGGGGAGGCAAATGCAGCAACTGCATGAAAATTTAGAAATTAGACACAATTACCATGTTGGCTGGAGGCAGGAGCAGGGAGCATTGTTGAGGGAGGCTTTTAAGAGAAGTTTGATGGTTCCTTAATTGGCTGCTGCCTCCCCGGTCCCACCCAGCTCTGCTGTTTAAATGAATTAAAAAAACAAAACCCAACAAAGTCATTGATGCTCTGCCTATCTCTGCAGTGCAGCAGCCCCGAGGAGTTAATGAAGCAAGACAAGACCCACAGAGGTCTGCCAGAGAGCTGCAAACCTCGAGGGTGCTCCCCTGACATGATGCTGGGCAGCCTTCCCAGTCACTGAGGGACAAGCCTCTGCTGGCCTTTTTATGGGGTTTGCAGAGACACGGCTCAGACACTGACCCTTTTGCTCTTGCTGTGCTCTGCAGCTGCGTCCAGTCACATAATGAGTTGTTTTGAAGGGCTAATATACTAAGGATTGCAGTGCAGCACTCACTGAAGTTTGTGGGTGCCTTTGCATCGAATTTAAGGGTCAGAGTATTTGTCTGATGTCAGTGGTGATGTCTGCTAGTACAGAGGTATTTTTTTGTGCTTGTACAGCATCCTTCCTCTTCCCTTGTCTCCAGCAGCTGCCTCATTCCTCTGTGTGTTAAGGGGTGACAGGTTTGTGTTGGTTTTGTCCTGTATTAGTGGTGGTCTGGCACAAAGCAAGAACCCCAGAACCAAGCTCTGATAGCATGCCCTATAAAAAAAAGGCCTAAAAAATAATAGTTTAGCGTTAATGAATTAGGAATGGTTGTGGTGATTGCCCATTTGTGTGCAGGGACCTTTTGTTTTGAAGCAGAATATTCACAGTAAATACTAGTTAGGTGTTCCTTTGTATTTTTGGAAGGTTTGAGGTCTACACCTCTACTTTCTGAAACGTACAGCCCCTTAGCACAGCTTTCTGCATGGCTTCGGCAGCAAAGTCCAACTTGGCACAACTGAAACAAGTTAATAGGGGAATGAATAGAAGTCCTACAGGCCGATGCGTACCCTGCATACCAATTGATGCAGGCTGTCTGGTGCAGGGGAAGGCAAAGAAAGAAGAGTTTTTTCATGTGTCCTCAACTGATCCCTTGGAAAAAAAATGGAAGCAGTGCAAATTTAGAAATAATTTAAAAAACAAAAAACAAAACACCTTCATAACTGTTTAAACTAGATTTTTTTTTTTAAATGTTGGCATATATGACCACATGCCTGGACCTTTCATCGTCTGTGAGGTTCAACTGACTAAAGAGTTTTATCAGCATTTATATGCCACCTGCACTGTGCTTGTTTTTCCTGGTATTTCTTTTGATGTCTTGTTTTTCTTCCCTTGAAGGTAGCTTTGAAATTGGCATGTTTCCTGATTGCTCAGGTATCTCTGATCCATTGGATTAGTCATTTTGCTGGGCTCTCTGTGACCCTGAGGAGAAGCTTTATCATTCATATAAGAATTGAGGAACAGCGTTGACTTGTGAATTGATAAGCAATTAAGGACATTGTGTCAAGGAACCGATGAAAGCTGTAAGGGTCCGTAAGGGATTTATATGCTCTGCTGTAGATGAGAAACTGTGTTGTCAGTAATTGAGGGGACTGTATGTGCAGCAGCGAACAAGTTCAGAGCTGTAAACAGTTCCCGTGGCATTAATCGTCAGCCTGTCACTGAGTTCAGGAGTGTTTTGCCCCTGACGTGTGTGTAGCCTTGATATGAATAGTTAATGTAGGAGAGGTGCGTGGTTAACACTATGCTTTGGCTGAAATGTAGGTTTCTGTTTGGGGGCTGCAGAACCTCTCTGAACCTTGCATTTTGCTCTCCTTGCAGTGTTGCTCTATAGCTCTCTTCCATGCAGTGCGTGGGAATATCATGCATAGAAGAGGAAAAGTGCAAAACTGGTGAGAAAACTGTTCTGGCCTGACGCCACTGCAGTCTGCATCCTAGCCAGCTGCCCTAGTGACTTTCTGCTTTCTATGTAAAAAACAAAACCAAAAAACCTGCACATTGCTTACTCATAAGGCAGCTGCTGAGGAAGGGTTAATACAGATGGTATTCGGTGTGTGGCTCCTGCTTTTGGCTGATGTTGGAGTTGGTTTCATTTTAATTTTATTATGAAGATATCTTGCTTAGGAAATCAGAAGAGGGCTCTAGCTGCTCTCATCTCGCCAATTCATCGCTTCTTCCCTGAATGTGCATCACAAGGATCTCGGGAGTAATTCATACAAATGTATCCGAGCTTAGCCAACAGAAGCAATTTCAGCTGGCACCGAATATAATCCATTTCACCCTGGCATCAAATAAAGGGAAGGGGCTCTTTTATTACTTTGACTCTTTGTTTTTTGCAAATATTCAGATGCTACGATGACGTATTGAAAGATAAAATCTAGAGATAGATATGGAGGGTGGAAATCAAAAACCTGCGTATAGTTGCTTGCAGGCTCCATGGAAACTGGGCTTGTCGTCATCAGCTGGAGTTGCATATACATGAATTTGGGCATCTTTAAGAATGAAATCAAGTTTTAATCTTTTGTTTCAAATGTTACAGTGCAACTGGATTATAAACCCTGAGCTCTCAGCTTTGGCAGCAGCAGCTATTGATGAAGATGTCATATATTTAAGCATGTTGGAACATTTTCTGGATCTTTTCTGAGTGCTCCA